ATTGATGGTTTGTCGTCCTCACAGGCGCTGAGCTCCGTCCTGAACTTGGATTTGGTGAAAGACAAAAGTTCTGATGAGATAAAACAGGTGATGGCACATACGGGGCGGGGTCACAGAGGGCGGAGTCTGAAGTCATGTGGGTAAGGATGGGATACATGGGGGAGGAGTCTGCGGTCATGTGGGTAAGGAGGGGATACATGGGGGAGGAGTCTGCGGTCATGTGGGTAAGGAGGGGACACATGGGGGAGGAGTCTGCAGTCATGTGGGTAAGGAGGGGATACATGGGGGAGGAGTCTGCAGTCATGTGGGAGGAGTCTGCAGTCATGTGGGTAAGGAGGGAACACATGGGGGAGGAGTCTGCAGTCATGTGGGTAAGGAGGTGACACATGGGGGAGGAGTCTGCTGTCATGTGGGTAAGACGGGGGCACATGTGGGAGGAGTCTGCTGTCATGTGGGTAAGACGGGCACATGTGGGAGGAGTTTGCAGTCATGTGGGTAAGGAGTGGACACATGGGGAGGAGTCTGTGGTCATGTGTGTAAGGAGGGAACACATGTGGGAGGAGTCTGCAGTCATGTGGGTAAGGAGGGAACACATAGGGAGGAGTCTGCGGTCATGTGGGTAAGACGGGGGCACATGTGGGAGGAGTCTGCGGTCATGTGGGTTAACCACTTCAAGACCAGGTGTTTAGACCCCCTTCCTGGCCAGGCCATTTTTCAGTATTCAGCGCTGCGATACTTTGACTGACGTTTATTCCGTCATGCAGCGCTGTACTGAGATGAATTTTATACCATTTTTTGGGGACAGATAGAGCTTTCTTTTGGTGGTATTTAATCACCGCTACGGGTTTTATTTTTTATTATAATTAGGAAAAATTACTGAAAATTTTGAAAAAAAAACGTTTTTAGTAACATTTTGTTAGGAAACATTTATTATTACCCAGTTTTTTGGTCAAATATTAAAGATCAGGTCACGTCGGGTAAATAGACACCAAACATGTCAAGCTTTAAAATTGCG